TTATAATGATGGTGGACTCCGTAGGTAGTACCTTTGCTGTCTTTAAATCCAATGTTTCATGTTTACTGGTCTTGTATGTTTTGCTTTGTTTTTTTTTTTTGGCATAAAGTTTAATGCAGAGGTAATGTTTCATTCTTTTTTCTTTTTGGTCTCATAGAATGATGAAAAATATCGCTGCAGTGAGACTGGTTATCGTATTCCCCTGAAATGTGTGGAAATCAAAGATACTTCGACCGTGTCCAAAGAGAAAAAATCTCATAATGGTCGCTCAATGCATGAAATGTCTTATGAGCACAAGCTTGTGATCCCTGTACCGAATGATGCAAGTGATCATGCTTCATCAACCGTACACAGAAATCTACGGGATGCTTCTCTCTCAGTGACAGATGGTTCTCAGGCTTACATCACTTATAGAAGCTGTATTCCATCAGATAATGAAGAAAAGTTGTCTGTACTTGGTTTTGAGGTATGCCATTCTTGCAGCTGCTCTATTTTAAGAGTTTTAATTAATTGCAAATAATGGTTTCGTGGTCATCTTTCTACCTGCTCTATTTCCTCACTGCATGCCATATGATCTCCTCTCAGATTCCTAATATATGGCTCTATTCTATATGATTGATACCAAATGTATTCGTCAACTAAATAACTATCCAGTCTTGGTATTAGTATTACTATTCTTATCCATTGTAGTTGTCGTCTGCGGCTTTTTTACGTGGTGCCTAGATTCTATTTACTTTTTAAGTAGAGATTGTTTATACAAACGCATGGATTGGAGGTGGACGATTAAGGCATCTTTTGAAAAATGTTCATTCTTTTCAGTACGAACTTCAATGGCTAATCAGTAGTCTTGGATTTTCTTAAGCAATTTCATTGTTAAGATGATAGCTAACATCACATATAGTAAGATTTCTGGTTCTAGAGAGGTTCATTTTTGTTGCTAGTTTGCTGTCTGTAAATCTAGCTATTTTAAGAGCTACAGAGTTTGTTTAGGCGTGTTTTCAAAATAACAATAAACTGTTTGTTTAAACATATTTTATTTTGTTCTATATGGAAAAATAGTCATTCGCTTAGTATCTTCGTTTACTTATTATTCTTTTAAAATAAACACATTGTAAATTGAACCATCAACATTGAATAGACAATATAGAAAAATATAGAATGAGCTATTTAGAGCTTTCTCATCTGCCCGTAGGCTGTTCTTTTGTTCTTGTGTTAATATATCTTTTGTCTCTTATCCAGAAAAAGAAAATTATAGAAGGGGCTATTTAGAGTCGTGCTTAAAAACAATATTCTATTCTTTAAACAATAAAAATATTGTGGTGTAGAACTGTCATTCTTTAGAGAAGAAGGTAGATACGTTTATGTTCTAAATGACCATTGCGCTGTTGCTATTTAGATCTTTGAAGTCTTGCAATATGTGAAGAGGAGATATGTAGGAACCCTTATTTATGCTGCTACTGGTTTAGTATAGCATGCCGAATATTGTCTTATTTTAATTTTTAACTCTATCTGGATCAGAGGAAGAGTTGTGAGATCTACACTTAGTCCAGTTGTTAAGAGAGATGAAATTGTGAAATTGTACGCTCATCATGCTTTCCTACAAACTCAGAAAGAAAATTCAATTTTTTTAGTTGCTATCTTCACGAGCTTTACTCTTCTGTACAGGGCATTGTGCTGTGCTTGCTGCTCGTTAGTGGTTTGGTTGTATATTTCAGAAGGAAGCGAACTGTTTCAACAGCTGGTTTTGCTGCTGGCAGGGTGCAGTCAAATCCCAGGTTTTAGTCCAGAAGTCTTCTATAGTTACAATTGTTTGTGAGTTGAATGTATTACCCAAGAATACTAAACAATGAATTTATAGATTAATCAACAGCTAGGCATTAGATTGTTGCACATACATTGTCCCCGGTTCCTTTACTTCAAAACAAGAACAATATCAAGTATCTTGCCATTTTAGTTACCAATTTAATGGATTGCGATTCATTCTTTTCTTTTGGATGTCGTCAAAACATTACCAACAGAGAAAGGTCTTGACAAAATCTGCTCTTTACTTCAAAGAATATATATGTATAACACAACACAATAATACCAGGTCATTGCTTCTTTAAAATTTACAAGAAAATGGGCCCATCGACCGATACCTTTAGCCACTTTTCCTATTTTTTTTGCACATGAAAGAAGCAACGGAACAAAACTAAAACTACAACAAAAAGAATGACATTGACTGACGATATTCTGGTTCTCACCCATGACGAGAAAGGCTTCTCAGAGTAAAATCTACAGCGACGAGACTCGCAATGACCAACAACATATAGTAATCACAAAAAATAATCAGGAGTCTTGCGCGTGGCATCGGGCTCAATTTGCCGAGGTGCCGGGTCAAATTGTAGAAAATTCTGATCCATGTTCTCGCCAATTTCCAGTATTGCGGCCATATTCCCACACCGATAACAATAATTTGGTGCACTAAAGACAGTCACCACATTCTTATCCTACAAGATGAACCAGATTGAAAACATAAGAACATGCAATACAAAGAAAAAACAAGTGGGGTTGGTGCAATTAGCCAATCAATTCACCTGACACCAGTTGTACCCTTCCATGACAAGTTGGTGCGCTCTGGATATAAGAGTGAGCCCATTTGTATGATTGAACTGAGCAGCTATATCCTGACCAAATGTATAACCCGCACCACGTGGAGATATTCCCCAGCCACACCGGTCATCTGGATCAGACCACAACAGATCACACATCGGCCCCTCATGTGGGACCTGACGTGACATTTACAGAAAGAACAGCTATGAGTAATACAGTACAGTACACTGAGCCACCCATAAAAGGAAATGCTTGTAGAAGAGTAAATAAATAGTTTAGTGGCCCATCAATCGAACAACCAAATAGTAATTTTCAAACCTCCTGTATGCGGTCCAACGAGCGAATGTTATCCAAGGTATCCAAGGATGGAGAAAGTCCTCCATGCAAACAGAAAACCTAGACAAAATCACAGTTGGATTGTGTTAGATAGAAGCTATCTGGTATCAAATTGCATCGCACAGTTTATGCCATGTAGAACTGAACCTGACTCTCAACTAGAGCTGTAAGAGGTAGGTAATCAAAAAGGTCTGTGAAGTGCTTCCAGACATTGGCATTTCCATATTTTCTCAAGCATTCATCATAAAAGCCATACCTGAATGAGAAAGAAAGTAACTCACATGACATCAGTCAAAGTTCAGATGAATAACAAATGGCGCTTGAAAGGTCATAACATCTTACACTTGAGTTATTTGCCGGCTCTCATGATTTCCCCGCAAGATTGTAATTCTATCTCTATAACGAACTTTCAGAGCCACTAGAAGAGTAACTGTCTCCACAGAGTAGTACCCACGATCTGCAATAGTTCACAATGTTGAAAATATGCTAGTATTATAAACTCAAGAAACGGTGAAGCTTCTTAATCGCCTCAAAGTGAGAGGCACAAAAAGGTATCGCCTAATAGGCGCACCTAATAAAATAATATGTAATAATTATTAATATTTTAATAAAAATTCATTTAAATAATAACGAGGAAAGAGAGTGATTCCAAAATGAATTGGAATAGAAATTCTATTTAAAATAGGGTAAGTGCTCTAAATGTAGGTTTGTATTAATTGGAGCAAAAATACTGCCAAAAGGCAAATGCAGCTAGCAGTTCTTCAATGCTTGCAGCTGGCACTTTAATTCTCCTAGGAAATGTAAGAATGAATGAGAGAAGGATCCCTCTTTGTTCTTCTTGACCGCTAACTAAGCACTAGGAATGTAAAAAACAGAAAATGAGACATCTGATGATGGCACACCAAGCAATGAAAAAAGAAGAGAAGGAGACATTTGATAGATGACACAAAACAGATGGCTTCTTCGACTCTTTTTCTTTGACTTTTCTTCTCAATCAAAGAATTGAAGAAGAAGAATCAATGGAATAAGAATTGACGAGGAAGTACCTTCCTTCACAAAGGCGGCACCTTATTATTAT